CTGGCCCTTAAATCGACCGGCCCTGTTGGGCACTCAAGGGTCTGGCCTTGTCCTGGCCCTTAAATCGACCGGCCCTGTTGGGCACTCAAGGGTCTGGCCTTGTCCTGGCCCTTAAATCGACCGGCCCTGTTGGGCACTCAAGGGTCTGGCCTTGTCCTGGCCCTTAAATCGACCGGCCCTGTTGGGCACTCAAGGGTCTGGCCTTGTCCTGGCCCTTAAATCGACCGGCCCTGTTGGGCACTCAAGGGTCTGGCCTTGTCCTGGCCCTTAAATCGACCGGCCCTGTTGGGCACTCAAGGGTCTGGCCTTGTCCTGGCCCTTAAATCGACCGGCCCTGTTGGGCACTCAAGGGTCTGGCCTTGTCCTGGCCCTTAAATCGACCGGCCCTGTTGGGCACTCAAGGGTCTGGCCTTGTCCTGGCCCTTAAATCGACCGGCCCTGTTGGGCACTCAAGGGTCTGGCCTTGTCTTGGCCCTTAAATCGACCGGCCCTGTTGGGCACTCAAGGGTCTGGCCTTGTCCTGGCCCTTAAATCGACCGGCCCTGTTGGGCACTCAAGGGTCTGGCCTTGTCCTGGCCCTTAAATCGACCGGCCCTGTTGGGCAGTCAAGGGTCTGGCCTTGTCCTGGCCCGCGCGCGCGGCCTTGGCCTTGGCCTTGGGCCTTCCAAATCGACCCGAAAGCAATGCAGCAATTATGATGTTCAAGGGAGGGTGGGGGACTTAACTGGAAGATAAATCGTTCGGCCCTGTTGGGCACTCAAGTTTCTGGCCTTGTCCTGGCCCCCGCGCGCACGCGGCCTTGGGCACTCAAGGGTCTCTGCTTGGTCTTGAGGGTTTAGCCTTTGGTCTTGAGGGTTTAGGCTTGGGCTAGTATTTCTGCATCAGAATGGGGGTCTCTCTTGATTTTGCGGATACAAAAGCAATGCAGCAATTATGATGTTCAAGGGAGGGTGGGGGACTTAACTGGAAGATAAAGCATTGATTGAAGATCGAGGGTGGGGTGGGGAGGAATCAAAGTGGTGGCATAGGAGGGACCGAATGAATAGCTAAACAGTTATACACGCATGGGTTTAGAAAAGACTTTCGGCACTTGGCTTCCCCAGTCGATGCCGGGTACTAAGCCCTGCCGCCACGACAAGGCGGCCGACAGTTGGGAGGGAAAACAAGTGCGGATATCTGGCGTCGCACCCTGCGTATGTCAAAGCTTTCGGGCATGTCATACATATGTAGCTTGATTATGTCTTTGGGATGGAAAATGGCTGAGGAATCATAACAACTCAAATCGAACACAAGCGCAAATGTTGAGTCATTTCGCAGCTGAAGTTATCGTTGCTTCAAGTTCTTCGCAGCATACTTTTTACTGCTGGCTGGTCGAGCTGTGCAAATCTCAAACTTCGGCCATCAAGCATAGAAGCCTGTACAGGTGATACTGGGGTTCACGTTAACTCCGAGCCAGGGGGCGGTCTCTTCATTCGACGCTTCGGCTGCTGGGACCGGCGTGACGTGGAGGCGACGTCTGCGGAGGCCGGCCTATCTGGAGGAAGAAGCCCGGCAGTATCCGATGCGCTCGCGCCGGTGCTGCAAGGCCTCATCACGGCAAACCATCGCAAAGTGCCTGGCTGGACCGGTTCCCCATCATGGCAGGGCTGCAACTCTTCCCAGATGTCCATGTCTCTGGCGTACCTGCGTTGTGCCTCTGCTTCCTGGTGGGGCTCGGGAAATAGGCCAGCCGGGACGTCAGCACTGTAGTAGTCCTCCAGCGCTGGCCTGGGGTCGTGGGGACGGAAGCCTGTCGTGCATATTCGGCAGATGGCCTCTGGCGGGCATGGGGGCACGGTGGTTGCATTCATTGGGCATCGCCACTTGTCGGTGGCAGCATACTTGAGCACTGGGTGGTGACAGGAACGCTGTGGCGGTTTCAAAAGCCACTCTGGCCCCTGGCTTCCTACGATGGTGATGTGTTGGCGGCGGTGAGGCTCTGGGACCGCAGGGTAAGGCCAACGACTGCCGCTGAAGGCTACGAAATCTTCTTTCCACATGGCTTCTCGTTCTTGGCGCGTTTTATCCTTGATCTCCTTCAAAAGCATTGTGGCAGCACTGCTGCGGATCCAGTCCATGTAGTTGGAACAGCTGCGCTTCATGTCGTGGCTGACTCGTTGCCATGCCTTGTCAAGGATGTGTTGGTCGCGGTTGTTCTTCGCGAAAATTGCCAATGAAACCCATAAATTTGTACGACCGCTTGGCGAGCCTTCGGCTGCGAGCCGGCTTCCTTCGAAGGTGCAGAAGCCGCAGGTTGCTCCGTGTTCCACTCGGGCCGGCTTGCCCGGGGCTCTTCGGCTGAAGCAGCATCCGGAGCTGGTGCAATACTTGTTCTTGCGGACGAAGTCAGGAGGCAGCTTCTGCAAGGCGTCGTTCAATGCAGGGGATGCAGCACGCTGCAATTGGTTCACCACTTTGTTTATTCGCGCTCGGCCAGCTGACGTTGCCAAAGCCTTGCCGAACTTCTCGGGATTGCACCACATGCATGTCTCGCCTTCTTGAGTGACGCGGCTCGGCTGGCCAGCCATTTTGGTTGAGAAATTGCACGCTGGCCCAGCACACCGAGGGCGTCTTCTGCTCCGGCGCGGTGGGCGCACTGAGTTGATGGCACCTGTTGAGCTGGCCCCTGACCCGCTCTCCTGTTCTGCCAGTTCTGCCACGGGTGGGAGATCTTGTCGGAGAGCTTCCAGCGCAGTAGCTGTAAGAGGCAGATCAGCAAGTATCTTCTCCTGCTCTGGTTCTTCTTCCTCTGACTCCATTTGCTTCTCATCTTCATCCGAGGACGGATCGCTCATCATTCCGTTGCCAAGACAGTCATCGAACGACATGATAACACAGCAAATACCTTTCTACACCATGTTGTCGGGTGTGCACCTCATGATTGATTGATCTAAACATGCGAGAAGCGTAGTGGCTGATAGTCTGTTGGCGGATCATGCTCGTGGACTACAGCAACGGTTTCAAACCGCTGCGGCAAAAGGTATCCATTCGAGCACTGCTCAAGCAACTGTTTTCCGCAACATTAGCAAAGTTACTTCCTTGCACGGGCGACCAAAGCAGCTACTTACCGTGGCTATAGTCATCGGAATTCGCGGGGGCTCTGGTGAACAAAACCACTGCCAGATCGCCTTTAGCTTGACATCAGCAGACTCCGTCGCAAGGCGCAGACTGGCCTGGGCGATGATCGTAGACCTGGGACGAGGCAAGTCTTTTGATTGAGGGTTTAGGGCTTACTGGGCGGGGAAAGGCTTGGGCCTTGGGCTTTAGGAAGTGGCCTGGGCTTTAGGCTAGCCGCTGCTTGAGCTTTGGGGTTTCGGGCCTACTGGGCCTTGGACTTGCGGGTTTAGACGCCACAAGCTGGCGAAGCTGAAGTGTCAAGGGTGGGGTGGGGAAAGGTTGCCGAAGCATCAACATCGGCTTCAGGCTTTAGGATTTAGGGACATCAGCAGGCTCCGTCGTAAGGCGCAGACTGGCCTGGGCGATGATCGTCGACCTGGGACGACACACGCAAGCCTTTTCTCTGACTGAGCTTTTGTATTTTAGGGTTTTGGGCACTGTCAGATGCAAGTGACTTTTTCTGTTGCAAGCGCCGAGAGCGGTTCTACATCTGAGCGGTGGAAGCGAGTGTAAAGTTGTTCACGAGCTGCTCGTGGAACCCGTGAAATCGGATGAAGCAGGCTCGTCTTCTGTTTCAGAGTCGGAGCTGGCTGTCTCAGGATCATTGCTGTGATCCGTGCTTTCACTGAGGACGGACAATGTGTTCTGTTCGTTGCCGTCATCTTTTCCATTGACCGGTCGCCAGTCGGTACGCCTAATCCGACCCATCAGGAATACATCCTGCCTGCGTTTGGCTCTGGAAAGCCCGACGTAGGCATACCCACGATCGGGCAGTGGCCTGTCGAACCACAGGACGATCCTCTCCAAAGTGGCTCCCTGTACGCGCCGAATGGTGGTCGCCCAGCCATAGGCCACAGGAAGAAACTTGCGACCTTTGTACGTGATTGGGTGGACCAGGATGGGCAGGCCTTGAGCGCTTTGCATGAGGAAGACATCCTTCCGCAGCACTCCGCGCACGATCCCGGTGTTCCCGTTCACGAAGCCGCGGTCCTTGTCCACATTGTGCGTCAAGCGAACTCGCATGCCGGGGGCAATCACGACTTTACCGACGTCTGCTGGAATGCCGCCGCCGGCTTCGAGTATCTGAGCTTCGGCAGGGTATTCTAGCGCCAGACGGGCGAGGTTGAGGGCTGCCGCTCTAGGATTGGTCACGGTGAGGAACGTGAACTCCTTGCCGTTTGCGTCCTCGATCTCCTTTGCGACTCGTACCGCATCTTGGATGTTGGAAGACCAGATCCGGCTCTGGAAGAACTCCAGCAGAGACTCTCTTGTTGGCTGACGAACTCTTGCTGTTTCCAGGAAATCCAGCATGGTCGGGTCGACGGAACGGGCCGCCTCGTGGTGAAGGAGTTTGACTGTCGGGATATTGCCTTCGTGAATTTCTCTTTCCAGGTCTCTTTGGAGCTGAGGCCCACCAGCAAGAGGCTGGAGTTGTTGAAAGTCGCCAACGAAGACCACGAAGGGACAAGGGGAGAGTTCGCCGAGAGCTGTTTTGAGCTTCTTCCACACTTCGGCATCCACCTGGCTGACCTCGTCGAAGATGATGAGGTCGTACTGACGCAATCGTCCAGGTGGGCTGTAGGCGGCGTCCGCGTCTCGAACCATGCGGAAGGCGGAATGTATGGTCTCCATAGTGAGGTTTTCGGCATTCGGCAGACGAAGCCTGTACATGGAGACGAGCAACCCGATCGGTCCTGCTATGAGGACGCGGCAGCCGTCCTCCAAAGCTTGACGCACGGCGGCGATGATGACTTCTGTCTTTCCTGTTCCAGGGCCGCCAGACACATGCAGGATTCGATTCGAGTTTTCCATGGAGGCAGCGTCGCTGACCCTCGTGCCCTTTTGAATGTAGTCCAACACCACTTGCTGCTCGGCGGACCAATTGCGTTGTGGAGGTGCGCTTATCCGTCGAGCTGACCAGGTTGCTGGATCCTCTAGGCCGTCCCGTACTTGGAGTAAGAGCAGGACGCAAGAGTGGATCCTGGCCTTGAAAGTAGCTAGCCGATCGCTGCCGATGCCTCGCAGGAACAGCTCGCTGCTCATCTGCTCCAACAGCTTGCCGACATCGGGATGGAAGACAGCTGAGTCCTTTCCTTCAATTTGAAACTCATCCAAGCACAACACAGCTTTGAGATGCTTGCAGCCTTCTGGCGCAGTGAAGGATGCTCGTCGCAGTCGCTCTGAGGTGTATCCATCAGGGTATTTCAAGGAATCGTCTTGTGTGTCGGGGAGTAGCCTGTATTCTGGCATGTTCTTGAGAAATGTTGCAGCCCAAGCTCCAATGTAGATGTCCAGGAGCTCGAAAGGGAAAGTCATTGCGATGCCACAATCACAATCCTTCGCAGGACCATGTACATTCCTCTTGGCGACGGTGTTCTTCCGGAAGTCGACCACGTGAAAGCGTCGGAGCCATTGGATATAGGACAAGGCCTCGGCACAGCCGACCGTGTCAGTCGGCTGTGTGAGGAAATGCTGGTAGAGGGCATAGTGGTTGCGGGAACTGTTCTTGGCTTCGCTTCCTGGAATCGGTGCGAAAAGCGCCTGTCCACTGAAGGAATGCTTCACGAGGGCAAGTCCCGCAAACTCCATCAGCATTTCTTGCTCCATCGGCGATTTCTTACAAAGCAGGCGATAGGTTTGCCGCCATCTACTGCTTTCGGCTGGGGCGCCGTCCCGTTGCGCTTGCTTTGCATTGAAAGTCAGGGCATCCGAGGCCTTCTGGATGTACCCTGCAACGTACAGCATGAGGTTGTGACTGCCGTTGCCGCACTGCACGTCTACTCGACTGCGGAATAATTCCTCCAGCAGTGACACGAAAGCTGAATGGTGCTGGGTGTTAGTGCGACCCGCAAGGTCCTCGGCACGCCAGCCTGGCAGCAGATCTGCCCACAAGACTGCGTGGAGATGCAAAGTGCCTCTGGACTGGAATTCGAAGCGCAAGGACCATTGGCGAACATTCGCGATGCCGATGCGTTGGAGACTATGGCCGTCCTTGAAGATGTGGAAGTCGAGGAGTGTCTGCAACGTGTGGTAGAGGTGCAGCGTGATCACGTCCTGCTGGTCGGCCAAGGACCCTTCGTGGAACATCCCGTCGTGCAAGATGTACTTCCACTCTGCCGGCGCCACCGTGAAGAACACGGACGGCAAAGCTTTCTCAAAGCTTTCGGTGCGTTCCCATTCTTGACGACATATGTCTTCCATCTTGCGTAGTTGCTGGGACCAATATGCGTCGAAGGTGTCCATGTCCGATGCGATCTGCTCCGGGGAGACGTTCTTGCTATCGGCTATGCTTTGCACCGAGCTGATTGTGCGAGCCATGCAGATGTCGTAGACCAAACATTTGAGTGGAAAGTCGCGAGCATAGTCTAGACATCGGCTGGTGAGCTTGCGCATGAAGCCAGCTCGCATGCTTGGCTTGCTGTTTGTGTCTATCCAGCCAAGAGGCAAGAGACGCTGCTGCAAGTCGCTGTCAGTGCAGCTGGGGAGAGGATACAACCAAGGCCGAACAGCGACCTCAATGCCCGGTGAATTCAAGAGCAGCTCTGCCGTGTGAACGTCCTTGTTCCCTCCATCTTCCTGCATCAGTCTTTCATGTCGTTCTACGAAATCTCGATAAGTACCATTGTTTTGCAACAGCCACGTGAAAGCTCGAGCTGCGACATTGCTTCGGGGAATGTCACGGAGTGCCTGAGTGTTCCAGCGACAGCGAACGACGGATCGTTTCTGCTTGCTGGTGATCTCCGCATGCCCGCCTCGTCGAGATCGGTAATCCACGTGGATGTGCAGCACGGCGAGGTTGTGGAGCTCTTCGTCGGACAGCAACGTCGTCAGGGGAAGCTGACCTTCGCCGATGTGTTGCGCCCAGGTTTGCCATGTAGTCGCCTGGGGTGTCACGTAAGCCCGAAGGTTCTGGTGCACCAGTTTTGGGGGGGCCTCGGCTAGAAGATCTTGCGCAGCGGGGTCGCAATCAGGGTAGCAGGGCTCGAGGGCATTGAGGTTCTCCCGCGTCCACTTCACTGTCTTGGTGCGTGCATTGGCGACCACAGGCAGGACAGAAGGTCCAGGAACCATGGAGCAGCCAATGCCCGTCGGCATCCGTCGATGCGACCTGCGCGGGCTCTCTTTGGACGGATTCCGGGCAGGTGACGCTGAAGTTCTGCTTGTACTCCTCGTTCCATGTCACATGGCCTGGAGACCTCGTCGCTTTGCCCACTGTGCACCGTCGCTTCAAGCTGCCAAGTGGGATGTGCTTCGCGGCTTTCTTGTCTCTGGCGCTGAAGCCCGGCAGGCCGTCGCTCAGGACGCCGACGACTGTCGCGACCGAAGGGGACATCGCCACGGCCTCGTTGACTATGGCTCGATCCTCTTGTGGCAGACGGCCCAGGCTGCTGTGAACTGACGGTCGCTGGTTCAATTCGCTGGCAGGGTTGTCGCTAGGGAGCTTGTCTGCCTTCGCCATTGCCTTCTCCATGCTGTCGTGCTTGTGGAACCAGTTTTGAAGAGTTGTTCGGCTCAAATATCTCGGTGAGTTTCGGTCCTTCAGCTCGAAACCCGGCAAGCTCCGGGACATCTTGGCTATGGCTTCCTTCAGCGAGGCGCTAGTGTGAATGGCGTCGCAGATTTCTTGTCTCTCCTGCTCCGTGTAATTTTTCAGGTTTTTGAGGCGTTTGGCGGGGTTGGGCGTGGGCTCGGCGGCGAAAGCTCTCTCTGCCGGCCTCTTCGTGGGGTTCTCCTTGGAAGTGCCGGACGTGCTGTTGGCGGCACCTCCTGAGTCGATGGCACCTCCTGAGTTGATGCCTTCCTTATCGAACTGGATCACGACGTCCGAGTCATCGTCTGTCATATCTTCATCGAGGTCAATCGGATTGGTGACAAGCCTGCTCGAGTCTTGCTCGGGCTTTGCACGATCGGGCGGGTCTTCTCCTCCAGTATCCTCGTCGAGATCAATGGGATGCCGATTCGGTTCCCGGTCAAGGATCGTTTCCTTCTGGTAGAAGAGGACGTAGGCTTTCTCGCCGAAACCTTGGCAAAAGCGGTCATAGTTGTCGACAGCAAGATCGGTGCGCGGGTCGTCGACTCTCCACCAAGGACCACTCTTGACATATGCTACATAGTGTCCTGACAGAGGGCTGACTCCGGCGTGGGCTATCAAGGATGTCAGCTTGTAGTGATGTCCCCCGGCGACCAATGTCTTATTGCAGACGACTTTGGTAGCATCTACGCTGCCATCATCACGCCATCTCTTGAGGCTGATCTGTAGGACCTGCGGCCATGCTACGATTTCGGGAGACTCCATGGGAGAGTCTTGGGCTCGGCCGCTCTGGAGACAGCCTTCGCTAAAGCAGCACCAGTCGTCCAGCTGATGAACTTGGCTTTCCTGTCTGAGGTAGGCATCCAATACATCCTGCACGGAAGCCGCGCCACCGAGGTGGAGTTGCAAACTCCGAAAAGCCACAGAGGGAGTCGGTCGAGAATAGAGACAATGCCGACATCGAAGCTTGCCTCGTTCGATTCCGTGAGTCAGACGGGTGAAGCTTAGGCACTGGTCGAAGAGGTTCACCAGGAACTCAGCAGCGTCCTCCTGCCGGCCTGAATAGTACACGTCAGTGACGGTGCGGGGAACTAAGTCTTTCTCGCGTCGGGACAAAGCTTCGAGAATACCCTTCAGGCCGGCTTCACAGGGCTGCAGGTCACTTCCTGCCAAAGACTCGCGGAAGCCGGGCACGGCGAAGATGGCTTGCAACGAGGCGTTCACGAAGCAGCTATTGCCGAGGTTGCGCAGACCCATTGGCCCTGCCGCTGCCGAGGCCGCCTGGTTCACGGCCATCTGGTTCACGGCGGCAGCCATGCTGGCTATCGCACGGCAAACAATTTAAACTGGTACGAAGTTAGATGGCTGCGCATGGCGCAGTTGTCTGCCAACGTGATGTGCAACAAGCAGCAAGAAGCAGAGCCTATTGGTCACTTCTATGGCGGATCACTGCGCCATGGTTCGACAAGCAGCGAGAAGCAGAGTCTATAGGTCACTTGAATGGCGGATCGCTGTGTCGTGTTGTCGCTCTTTTTTGCGAAACTGATAGTCGAGAATTTTTGCTCCAGCAGAACTGTTGGCCTTTCAAGATGCTGTGTCTGGAAGCACGGTCTGAGAGCCGACCTGTGACTTACGCACAAAACTCAACTCAATATCCGTGACGACCGAGCATTCTGCAAGTCAATCGAAAAGTCCCGTGGCATCGGAACCGGGCGCCGCCTTGTCAGAGGGCTCAGAAGGCTTCGAGTTACGAGCACGCATGGCGTTGAGGAAGTGGTCCGCGGTCATCGGCTTGAACTGGACGGCGGCACGGGCAACCAGCTCGGCAGCATGCGCGGCATAGTAGGCGTTGTTGCCTGACAGGAGGAAGAGGACCGAGCGGAAAGCGCTTTTCTCTTGACTCAGCCAGGCATGGAACGCCTTTGCTGCCTCGTCAACCTCGGCTTGCGAGTATGTGGTCGATGGTGTCCCGGACGTCTTCTGCCTCTTAGCCTGTCGGAAGGAGCCCGTGTCCCGTTGCTGCTGGGATCCCTTGCCGAAGTTAAGCTTCTCCAACACCGGCTTCAGCTCGGCGATCTCCACGTTGACCTTGTTGTACAGCTCCGTTTTGATGAGGCGTTTCATGTCGGCGCTCTCCCAGTTCTTGATCGCAGCTTGCAGGGCAGCTGCGGTGAGGGACACACCTGCGCCGACGTGCCAGCCGTCGGTCCCGGCATCTGCGCACAGATGACTGTGGTACGCAGCCTTTTTATTTCCCTTGGCGGCTGCTTCCCACACTTCCTTGAGCGACAAGCTGTCCAGGATGCCCTCGCCGAAGGGTTCAAATAGCTGAGAGGCGACTGAATCCCATGGGTAGAGCTTCACACGGCGATTGGTTTCGGGAGCAGGGGCCGCATCTCCGACATTTTCCTCAAAGAGTCCGCTTGCCATCTCCGAGAGCAAAGCTGTAGTCAGCGTCACGAAGCGAGGATTTGAGCACTAGGCAGCGACACAAAGCACGAACACGCAGACATCATGCGAAAAAGCTGGCGCAGATCGAGTCAATCCGGCGCCAATCTGCGCGATTACCCTGCTGGCGCCACTCCCACGGCAAAAAGCTTCTGTCGCGCGGCCCTCGGCTTGCACTCGGCAGAACTTGTCCTAATTTCTTTCGCGCGCGCGCGCCTTGAAATGTCAACTATTCACTTGGTGGCTCTGCCACACGCATCTTTGCAGTTTCAACAGCAACCTCTTCAGGACGAAGTTCTCAGAGAATGTCTAGGAACTATTCAGGGACCTTGGGCTTCCGTGGGCCTCGCTTCGGGCGGCCGGGATTCCGGCGTCGAACGGCCCGCTCTCGCCGCATGCTGTATTCGGCGCGTGCCTCAGGCCCGAGTGCGATACCAACACGAATTAACGCATGCTGTAGTGGCTTCCCCTCCAGGTCCGCAAGGAGGTGCGTGATTTTCTGGGGCATCCCGTCGTGCAAAGCCTCCAGGTTGTCGGTGCTGCACAGGTCGCAGCGTCCGTTTGGGGCTGCGTTGGCGGGCTTACCGTCGGGCCCAAAGCAACACGGCAGCTGATTGGAGCCCTTGCAAAGGCCGAAGCCTTCATGTGCAGCCCAAAATGTATAACGAGCTTTCTTCTTGTTGGCGTCTCGACCCTCCTCATCAGCGAGCTCGACCTTCACGGGGAACACCACTGGCAGCTTGTCGCTCGGCTTTTGGTCCGAGGCTGTCGTGTTTTTTGCCGTCCCCGTACTTGATGAAGGCAGCGCATGCTCGTGGAACCAGTTTTGAAGAGTTGTTCGGCTCAAATATCTCGGTGAGTTTCGGTCCTTCAGCTCGAAACCCGGCAAGCTCCGGGACATCTTGGCTATGGCTTCCTTCAGCGAGGCGCTAGTGTGAATGGCGTCGCAGATTTCTTGTCTCTCCTGCTCCGTGTAATTTTTCAGGTTTTTGAGGCGTTTGGCGGGGTTGGGCGTGGGCTCGGCGGCGAAAGCTCTCTCTGCCGGCCTCTTCGTGGGGTTCTCCTTGGAAGTGCCGGACGTGCTGTTGGCGGCACCTCCTGAGTCGATGGCACCTCCTGAGTTGATGCCTTCCTTATCGAACTGGATCACGACGTCCGAGTCATCGTCTGTCATATCTTCATCGAGGTCAATCGGATTGGTGACAAGCCTGCTCGAGTCTTGCTCGGGCTTTGCACGATCGGGCGGGTCTTCTCCTCCAGTATCCTCGTCGAGATCAATGGGATGCCGATTCGGTTCCCGGTCAAGGATCGTTTCCTTCTGGTAGAAGAGGACGTAGGCTTTCTCGCCGAAACCTTGGCAAAAGCGGTCATAGTTGTCGACAGCAAGATCGGTGCGCGGGTCGTCGACTCTCCACCAAGGACCACTCTTGACATATGCTACATAGTGTCCTGACAGAGGGCTGACTCCGGCGTGGGCTATCAAGGATGTCAGCTTGTAGTGATGTCCCCCGGCGACCAATGTCTTATTGCAGACGACTTTGGTAGCATCTACGCTGCCATCATCACGCCATCTCTTGAGGCTGATCTGTAGGACCTGCGGCCATGCTACGATTTCGGGAGACTCCATGGGAGAGTCTTGGGCTCGGCCGCTCTGGAGACAGCCTTCGCTAAAGCAGCACCAGTCGTCCAGCTGATGAACTTGGCTTTCCTGTCTGAGGTAGGCATCCAATACATCCTGCACGGAAGCCGCGCCACCGAGGTGGAGTTGCAAACTCCGAAAAGCCACAGAGGGAGTCGGTCGAGAATAGAGACAATGCCGACATCGAAGCTTGCCTCGTTCGATTCCGTGAGTCAGACGGGTGAAGCTTAGGCACTGGTCGAAGAGGTTCACCAGGAACTCAGCAGCGTCCTCCTGCCGGCCTGAATAGTACACGTCAGTGACGGTGCGGGGAACTAAGTCTTTCTCGCGTCGGGACAAAGCTTCGAGAATACCCTTCAGGCCGGCTTCACAGGGCTGCAGGTCACTTCCTGCCAAAGACTCGCGGAAGCCGGGCACGGCGAAGATGGCTTGCAACGAGGCGTTCACGAAGCAGCTATTGCCGAGGTTGCGCAGACCCATTGGCCCTGCCGCTGCCGAGGCCGCCTGGTTCACGGCCATCTGGTTCACGGCGGCAGCCATGCTGGCTATCGCACGGCAAACAATTTAAACTGGTACGAAGCTAGATGGCTGCGCATGGCGAAGTTGTCTGCCAACGTGATGTGCAACAAGCAGCAAGAAGCAGAGCCTATTGGTCACTTCTATGGCGGATCACTGCGCCATGGTTCGACAAGCAGCGAGAAGCAGAGTCTATAGGTCACTTGAATGGCGGATCGCTGTGTCGTGTTGTCGCTCTTTTTTGCGAAACTGATAGTCGAGAATTTTTGCTCCAGCAGAACTGTTGGCCTTTCAAGATGCTGTGTCTGGAAGCACGGTCTGAGAGCCGACCTGTGACTTACGCACAAAACTCAACTCAATATCCGTGACGACCGAGCATTCTGCAAGTCAATCGAAAAGTCCCGTGGCATCGGAACCGGGCGCCGCCTTGTCAGAGGGCTCAGAAGGCTTCGAGTTACGAGCACGCATGGCGTTGAGGAAGTGGTCCGCGGTCATCGGCTTGAACTGGACGGCGGCACGGGCAACCAGCTCGGCAGCATGCGCGGCATAGTAGGCGTTGTTGCCTGACAGGAGGAAGAGGACCGAGCGGAAAGCGCTTTTCTCTTGACTCAGCCAGGCATGGAACGCCTTTGCTGCCTCGTCAACCTCGGCTTGCGAGTATGTGGTCGATGGTGTCCCGGACGTCTTCTGCCTCTTAGCCTGTCGGAAGGAGCCCGTGTCCCGTTGCTGCTGGGATCCCTTGCCGAAGTTAAGCTTCTCCAACACCGGCTTCAGCTCGGCGATCTCCACGTTGACCTTGTTGTACAGCTCCGTTTTGATGAGGCGTTTCATGTCGGCGCTCTCCCAGTTCTTGATCGCAGCTTGCAGGGCAGCTGCGGTGAGGGACACACCTGCGCCGACGTGCCAGCCGTCGGTCCCGGCATCTGCGCACAGATGACTGTGGTACGCAGCCTTTTTATTTCCCTTGGCGGCTGCTTCCCACACTTCCTTGAGCGACAAGCTGTCCAGGATGCCCTCGCCGAAGGGTTCAAATAGCTGAGAGGCGACTGAATCCCATGGGTAGAGCTTCACACGGCGATTGGTTTCGGGAGCAGGGGCCGCATCTCCGACATTTTCCTCAAAGAGTCCGCTTGCCATCTCCGAGAGCAAAGCTGTAGTCAGCGTCACGAAGCGAGGATTTGAGCACTAGGCAGCGACACAAAGCACGAACACGCAGACATCATGCGAAAAAGCTGGCGCAGATCGAGTCAATCCGGCGCCAATCTGCGCGATTACCCTGCTGGCGCCACTCCCACGGCAAAAAGCTTCTGTCGCGCGGCCCTCGGCTTGCACTCGGCAGAACTTGTCCTAATTTCTTTCGCGCGCGCGCCTTGAAATGTCAACTATTCACTTGGTGGCTCTGCCACACGCATCTTTGCAGTTTCAACAGCAACCTCTTCAGGACGAAGTTCTCAGAGAATGTCTAGGAACTATTCAGGGACCTTGGGCTTCCGTGGGCCTCGCTTCGGGCGGCCGGGATTCCGGCGTCGAACGGCCCGCTCTCGCCGCATGCTGTATTCGGCGCGTGCCTCAGGCCCGAGTGCGATACCAACACGAATTAACGCATGCTGTAGTGGCTTCCCCTCCAGGTCCGCAAGGAGGTGCGTGATTTTCTGGGGCATCCCGTCGTGCAAAGCCTCCAGGTTGTCGGTGCTGCACAGGTCGCAGCGTCCGTTTGGGGCTGCGTTGGCGGGCTTACCGTCGGGCCCAAAGCAACACGGCAGCTGATTGGAGCCCTTGCAAAGGCCGAAGCCTTCATGTGCAGCCCAAAATGTATAACGAGCTTTCTTCTTGTTGGCGTCTCGACCCTCCTCATCAGCGAGCTCGACCTTCACGGGGAACACCACTGGCAGCTTGTCGCTCGGCTTTTGGTCCGAGGCTGTCGTGTTTTTTGCCGTCCCCGTACTTGATGAAGGCAGCGCATGCTCGGAGTCGGAGCTGTCCAGCACTTCGATGTCGCTAGAGGCTTTCTCGAGGCACGTCTCCTTGGCTTTTGTTGTACTCGACGCAAGCACCGCATTCTCGGAGTCGGAGCTGGCCATATCGATGATGTTCGAGGCTTTGTTGAGGCGCGGCCAAGTCGACATGTTTGACACACGAAGGCCGGTCTGAGAATCAGGAGCACTTGAACATTCAAAGCCTGCTGCTGAAACTCTGGCGCTAGACAAGCTCTTGCTGAATAAGTCTTCACACGTGTCAGCAGCAAACGAAGAGCAACTCATGTACGGCACTGGAGAACTGAGTGCCTGACTGATTGGCGCGCCTCGGTGGCCTTGGCCGGGTTCTCCAAGCCGGCCGTGCCAGCGCTACCCAGCGTGAAACCTGACAGACGAGGCTGTGTGCCTAAACCCTCGGTTTGGCCCGCGCCCGCGTCCACCTGTTAAAGACCTCTGTAACGCCCGGCTTGTTACAGACCTCTGTCGCGCGCACGTTCGCATCATGTATATGATATTTTTTATATGATATGATATTATATTATATATACATATACATGTACTAAAAACGGGTCTCAGGGCGCATTGGGGTAGGACGATAATGCGTCTATTTGGGGCGCACGTTGCTTACGCAGATGTCGCAATAGACTGTGCTCGGTCTGTCGCGGGTATGTAACGCACTTGTAACGGGGTATGTCGCGCGCCGGGAGGCATGAACACCGATTTTGGGGAATCTCGGGTTTGAGGCTTCGGGGGTGTCTTGCCTAAAGCCTAGAGAGTCCCCCTGTTGATGACTGAATGGGGTTGGCCGCGACAAGCAAGACCCGGAACCCTCACAGCTTCTTGAAATTTACGAGCACTTACCCCCCTACAAGCAAGACTTGAAACCAGTCCACATACTCAGCCTTTAAGAGTTTAAGGGGGTTTCAAATTCAGGGATACATATATTTGCTTCTTGAAACTCACGAACACTTACCCCCCGATAAGCAAGACTTGGAACCTGCAGACAACAACAAACAGGTCTGTCGCAAAACCCCGGCCATTGATACATACCCTCTGTAACGGGGTATGTCGCGTGTGGGCCGCGGCCCTGTTACAAGCAATTAATATTGGCACGCGGCCGAAGCACTAGGAGAGTGGGCAGTGGGCGCTACGCTGGCATGGGAAGGTCAACAACAGTATGGCTACGTGCAGTGAACATCACCCCCCGATGAGCAAGACCTGGAATCACTTGTAACGCCTCGCCCCTTCCAAGCACATCACCCCCCGATAAGCAAGACCTGGAATCATGCATTTTCACTCGTAACGCCTGGCCCCTTCCAAGCACATCACCCCCCGATAAGCAAGACCTGGAATCATTACTCTCTAACGCCTCGCCCCTTCCAAGCACATCACCCCCCGATAAGCAAGACCTGGAATCATGCATTTTCACTCGTAACACCTCGCCCCTTCCAAGCACATCACCCCCGATAGGCAAGACCTGGAATCATTGGTCTCGTGTCCTGAGGCTTCGACGATGTGGGGAGATTCGGATGCCGAAGTCCATCTTTGACCTGGTAGACTGGTAGACAGAATTAGCAAGGAATGCCGAAATGCTACGCTGCAACACTATGACATGGCTTTCAGCTGGGACCTGCCGTCGTCCGAGGGCCGGGCTCGTTTGCACCGACGACGAACACACGAAAAGACACTTGCAAGACAAGACTGCGTATGGCTTCCAACGAACAAGTTCCCGCATGACCGCGCCTGTTTTTGAGGCCCCTGAAGTCCTCAAAAGACTCAAGAAACTCAAGATGGCTTCCAAAGAATAAAAACTTCCGGGTTCTCTTTCACATCCCCAGATCCCATGTAAAACACAGCAAACTCGGGCGCAAGGTTCTCTTCTGCCGGCTTCCAGGCCCGGAATGGCCTCGGAGCGGCTCCGGAGAAGCTAAGGCCGCAGTTTTTCGGAAAACTTCCGGGTTCTCTTTCGACGGCCCAGATCCCCTGTAATACACAGCAAACTCGGGCGCAAGGTTCTCTTTTGCCGGCTTCCAGGCCCGGAACGGCCTCGGAGCGGCTCCGGAGAAGCTAAGGCCGCAGTTTTTCGGAAAACTTCCGGGTTCTCTTTCGGCGGCCCAGATCCCCTGTAATACACAGCAAACTCGGGCGCAAGGTTCTCTTCTGCCGGCTTCCAGGCCTGGAGTGGCTCCGGAGAAGCTAAGGTCGCCGTTTTCCGGAAAACGGGCGCAAAGTACTCTTTTGGTTGCTTCCAGGCCCGAAACGGCCCCGGAGCGGCTCCGGAGAAGCTAAGGTCCCCGTTTTTCGGAAAACTTCCGGGTTCTTTTTTGGCGGCCCAGATCCCCTGTAATACACAGCAAACTCGGGCGCAAAGTTCTCTTTTGGTTGCTTCCAGGCCCGAAACGGCCCCGGAGCGGCTCCGGAGAAGCTAAGGTCGCCGTTTTTCGGAAAACTTCCGGGTTCTTTTTTGGCGGCCCAGATCCCCTGTAATACACAGCAAACTCGGGCGCAAAGTACTCTTTTGGTTGCTTCCAGGCCCGAAACGGCCCCGGAGCGGCTCCGGAGAAGCTAAGGTCGCCGTTTTCCGGAAAACTTCCGGGTTCTTTTTTGGCGGCCCAGATCCCCTGTAATACACAGCAAACTCGGGCGCAAAGTACTCTTTTATTTGCTTCCAGGCCCGAAACGGCCCCGGAGCGGCTCCGGAGAAGCTAAGGTCGCCGTTTTTCTGAAAACTTCCGGGTTCTTTTTTGGCGGCCCAGATCCCCTGTAATACACAGCAAACTCGGGCGCAAAGTACTCTTTTGGTTGCTTCCAGGCCCGAAACGGCCCCGGAGCGGCTCCGGAGAAGCTAAGGTCGCCGTTTTCCGGAAAACTTCCGGGTTCTTTTTTGGCGGCCCAGATCCCCTGGAATACACAGCAAACTCGGGCGCAAAGTACTCTTTTGGTTGCTTCCAGGCCCGAAACGGCCCCGGAGCGGCTCCGGAGAAGCTAAGGTCGCCGTTTTTCGGAAAACTTCCGGGTTCTTTTTTGGCGGCCCAGATCCCCTGTAATACACAGCAAACTCGGGCGCAAAGTACTCTTTTGGTTGCTTCCAGACCCGAAACGGCCCCGGAGCGGCTCCGGAGAAGCTAAGGTCGCCGTTTTTCGCAAAACTTCCGGGTTCTTTTTTGGCGGCCCAGATCCCCTGTAACACACAGCAAACTCGGGCGCGAAGTACTCTTTTGGTTGCTTCCAGGCCCGAAACGGCCCCGGAGCGGCTCCGGAGAAGCTAAGGTTGCCGTTTTTCGGAAAACTTCCGGGTTCTTTTTTGGTGGCCCAGATCCCCTGTAATACACAGCAAACTCGAGCGCGAAGTACTCTTTTGCCGGCTTCCAGGCCCGAAACGGCTCCGGAGCGGCTCCGGAGAAGCTAAGGTCGCCGTTTTTCGGAAAACTTCCGGGTTCTTTTTTGGCGGCCCAGATCCCCTGTAATACACAGCAAACTCGGGCGCAGAGTACCCTTTTGCCGGCTTCCAGGCCCGAAACGGCCCCGGAGCGGCTCCGGAGAAGCTAAGGTCGCCGTTTTTCGGAAAACTTCCGGGTTCTTTTTTGGCGGCCCAGATCCCCTGTAATACACAGCAAGCTCGGGCGCAAAGTACTCTTTTGCCGGCTTCCAGGCCCGAAACGGCCCCGGAGCGGCTCCGGAGAAGCTATGGTCGCCGTTTTTCGGAAAACTTTTTCGGAAAACTTCCGAGTTCTTTTTTGGCGGCCCAGATCCCTTGTAATACACAGCAAACTCGGGCGCAAGGTTCTCTTTTGCCGGCTTCCAGCCCCGGAACGGCCCCGGAGCGGCTCCGGAGAAGCTAAGGTAGCAGTAGCTGAAGTTATCACATACATATATATATATATATATATTTTTTATTTATTTATTTATTTATATTTATATTTTTATTTTTACATATTTATTTATTTATTTATTCAAACCTTCGGGCGATTTCGGCCAAACTGCCCCCCAATATTCGGGCGATTTCGGCCGACGAGCACGAAGGGAGGGGACATACGACAAACCCTAAAAGCACGAAGGGAGAAAACCTGTAGACCTTTCATCGAACCCTACGAGCACGAAGGGAGGGGACATGCGACAAACCCTAGGAGCACGAAGGGAGGGGTCGAGAAACCTCTAAAAACAAAACCTCAGTTTCTTAATTTTTGGGGTTCTTTGCAAGCAGACGAAGAGGGGTGGGGACAATGCGACAAAAAAAGAAAAAAGAAAGAACAACACAAAAGAAAAAAAAACGCAAAAAACAATTAAAAAAAAAAACAAGACAAAAAAAAAAAAAACAAATAGAAACAACAAAAAAAAAAAAAAAAAAACCAAACAAAAAAAAACAAAAAAAAAAAAAAAGCCGACAAGCATGAAGGGGCGGTGTGCGGCAAGCGACCTACGTGACAAACCCTAAAACAAAAATAAAAAAAAAAAAAAAAAAAAAAAAAAAAAAAAACAAAAAAAAAAAAAAAAAAAAAAAAAATTAAAACAAAAAAAAAAAAAAAAAAAAAAAAAACGCAGCACGAAGGAGGTGACCGTACGACAACAACCTGTATACCCTCCATCAAATCCCTTCGAGCACGTCAGGAACGGACACACTAACGGCAGAATGAACTACGAACGCAGAACAAACGCACGACGACAGAAGGAAACCCGCATACATGGGGCCGCGACCAAAGAACACGAGCAGAATGAATAAATGAGGTTGGAGGACAGGGCTTGCTGATGAAAAATGTGAACTTTATATTTCTTAATGTTTTGGGATTCTCTGGGTGGGTGGGTTTTTTTCTAGAGTCCAGACAGCGGCTCTACTAGAGATTGCTCGACCCAGAGCTGCTGAAACCTAAACCCTAAACCCTAAACCCTAAACCCTAAACCCTAAACCCTAAACCCTAAACCCTAAACCCTAAACCCTAAACCCTAAACCCTAAACCCTAAACCCTAAACCCTAAACCCTATACACTAAACCCTAACCC